TCTCAACTAGTATATTATTATTTCTTGAATTAAGTGTAATCAATCAACAAAAACCTCTGCTTTCTGCCATCATTTAATCCTGATGCTTATATTTGACTTTTTTTCTGAGAATCTGTACTTAAAATCTTTCTTTCTGTGACTCTGACTGCCAGTGGTTCTCCATCTGCTTTTTGGGACAAATTAATAATCTTTCAGGAGATGCTGGTGTATCCCAAAATATTGTGTTTAGTCTAAAGGACTAAAGGACTAAGCTAAAGGATCCTGTCCTCTGATCCATTTCTTCTCTGCCCTTTGAGTGATTTTGTTCACAAACATCAACTTGGATTCTCCATTCATAAACAGAAGGTCTACTCCTGTAACATAATAGCTATCTTTTCTTTCTGGCAGAGTTTAGCCTGTCTCTCCAATATGCTGTGGCTCAGCCTTTAGCTGGACTGAGCATGACCAACTGCTAAATCATCCCACTCACTTCTGATGATGAAATTATGTTCCAACACCATCTTCAGTTCTCTATCTTTGTTTCCAAGTATGGTTAATTTTGCACATTATTTCAACTATTTTCACTCTCCATGCACACGAATAAACTGTCATCTAAGTTGTCATTATTTCATGTTCTGTTTACTGAAATCTCCAATTCTCTGATCTTGACAAAAACAGTTTCACCTCCTCATATAAACTTAGAAACTCACTGCAGTGGTATAATTTTCTTCTCTGCTTCTTTGTTGAAGTCTCCCAGCCTATTTACACTTCTGGACAGTATCTTACATAAACTGATTTTAACTCTCGTTTTGAATTTCCCCTTTTCCCTCTTACGGTGCTTTCATATGCTCCTAAAACTATTCCATTATTATTTTTCTAAGCTCCTTGCTAAGGCACTAACGTGAAACTTGCCACTGTCTGAAACCTGAACACATGATTCTGGTGACTACAGTCTCATTGCTATCTTGGAATTCTGGCTTTTGTCTATAACCTTTTCTTGTAACCTATCTTAAACTGGAAACTACTGGGAGTAGTCCCTTCTCTTTTCTACGGTGCTCTTACAATACCTCACACACAGTCTATTATAATGGAAATAAATAAGTTGCAATTCTCATTACTAACTCTTCATCAAAAAAATACTTTAACAATATTTTGGGTGGTAAAACTGTAAATAATTTTACATAGTTCTCTTCTCTGGTACATTGTGTAGGTGCTTTGTTATCCTCATTTCTTCTTGCAAGGTCTCAAGAGAACTCATGCTCTTATTCTTCAGTGCATCGAAGTCTATGCTTTCCTCTAGGAATAGCTTTTTGGTAAAATTGCTATCAAAGTATTGCATGAGCTGAGTCATATTAATTGTGCTCATTTTCTCCTAATCTAAAGCAAATGCTGCTGCTAGGTAATTTAGCTTAGCTTAAATCTCTACCATAGTTAATATGTCTTAGCAGACAGATACTAATTTGCTTGTGCGTCTGAGCTTTCTGTATCTCCCTAGTACAATCAAATTATTTGTGTGAATCTCATAAAACTCATAATGGAGAGCAAAGATGATGTCAAAAAGTCAAATTTTCTCAGAAAGCAACATTGTGAAAATGTTTGTGGTAAGGAGGAAGCTGCATTTCCAGAATTTGTTGTTGAATATCGCTTTAGTTAAGAGCAAATAGGAAATTGGGAAAGGAGGTAAAGGGGGTGGAGTGGAGAAGCAGAAAGTATTATTATTATGTACTGGCAATTTCGTGCACTGGAGGGGTTCTTTTCAGGTGTGATTTTTGTCTTGTGTTTCTATGTGGAGTCTTGCGGATTGCACCCAGGCATACAATCAGCACACTTAAAGCACTTTCCCTCCTGCTGACACTAAGATTGAAGCTGTTCTCTTAAGTGCCACATAGCATACTGAATTGCAGGGGGATGCAAGGCTCTCAGTTGTCTGTATTCTGAATACGTTGTCTGTATGTGGAATAAACCAAGTTGCCAGCAAAGATGCATTGTGGAGATACAGTTCTAGAAGAGTGGATGACAGCAACTGAACCCTGGTTTTAGGTTTCTGCAACAACAGAAGAGAGACCTTGTTCTTCTGTCAGCTAATTCCTGAGTCCATAGGGTTTTCTCCAGTTCCCCTACATCGAAGATTTCTGACAAGATCAACTTTGAGATGATGGTTGCATGATAGCCTGCTCACCTCCTGATGGAAACATTTGCAGTGCTTTAGAGATAGCTACTCAGCACACCAAATTATTTTCATCCTGTTTTGGTCCATTACATCACTTTATAAAATATTCCATTGCATTATGTTTGGGCCCTTTATGGCTGCCTTGCAGATATGTGAGAATATTAGTTGCTCAGTTAAAATCTCTACCTTTCCTCCATTGTTTCTCATGCATTCTTTTACTTTCAATGAATTCATACAGTATGAACATACTGGCTGCATGAGCAACACTTTAGGAAACGTGCCAAAACCTTGACTGACATCCAGTTTATAGAGCTATTACAACCACTTATCTGACTTACAAAACTCTGTGGAGTTTCAGCCTTGGCTACCTTGAGTTCAACATTTCAGCATTCCTTTGTCCTAATACATGTGGTCAGCTCATTTTCTTTTGCTAGGAAATGGAGTTTAAACTCTGAAGAAGCAGGCATTTAAGGTAAAATTAAAAGTCCTTTTCTTTGAAGTACGTTGATTTTCTTGCTGAAATAGTTTGGATTTTTTCTTCCTCATAAATCTCAACAAATCATGTACTGAGGATAAAAGTCCTATCTACTTCACGAGAGGTGGGTTCCCTATTCTAACCTTGCAAGTGTTTGTTTTACATTATTGCTGAGTTGTTTTCAAGTTACAAAATTAATACTTAAAAGCTTCAGTAGATTTTGAAATACGAATATTTTTAAACAAGGGCGTAATGAAATTTAATTATGGCATCATTATTCAGCCTGGAAAAGAGAAGGCTCCGTGGTGGGGAGGAACCTTACAGTGACCTTTCAGCGCCCAAAGAGGCCCTACTGGAAAGTTGAGGAGGGTCTTTTAACAGGGACATGCAGTGAGAGAACAAGGGGAAATGGCTTTAAACTGAAAGAGGATAGATTTAGACTAGATGTTAGGAAGAAATTCTTTACTGTGAGAGTGGTGAGACACTGGAACAGGTTGCCCAGCGAGGTTATGAATTCCCCCTGTCTGGAAGCATTCAAGGCCAGGCTGGATGGGGCTTTGAGCAACCTGGTCTAGGGGGAGGTGTCACTGTTTATAGTAGGGGGGTTGGAACTAGACGATCTCTAAGGTCCCTTCCAACCCAAACCATTCTAAGATTCTATTATTAAAGTTTTATTCCACTTAATGTTTTTTGTCGCCCTATGTTGGGGTACAGATTTTGACAAAAGGGAAGATAAATGGGGAAAAAAAGTCAGGAAGAAAAGGAAATGCACAAGCTGGAAATGTTTATTTTTGTTTAATTAGTCATTTAGTCATTAGACCATTTAATCTAATCTATGTTTCTGGATAAAACCACCTGCCCTTGTTTTTTTTCTGTGTACTCTCTTAAGAAAGTTTATTAAATCTTTCAAGATTTCAGGTTTATTCAGTGAAAACATCGTGTTCTCTGAAACTGTGAAAGAGAAGTACAGAACAGGACTAATGATATCTTGAAGATGAAAAATCTTCTGTTGTCATTGTTACAGTGTCAACCTTTTAGTTTAAAAAAACTTCCTCACTAGTCGATAGGATTTAAAGTTATCATTTTGGCATGTTAAGTTTGCTTGAATTTGGGGCTTATCTTACTCATATTTAGACTTCTTTCAAGTTAATTCTCATTACTGAATGTAATGTAATGGATATAAGTTCAGATTTTAAGGAATGGGGAGTAATGGATTTCTCAAGAAATTGGGAGTTTACTGGTATTATGTAAGATTTTACATTCAGATACTCCACTCAGAGCTGTGTATCCTTGCTGAGGTGTTTCTGAATGTGCTCATGTATTTGAAAAGCACCATCACTCATATTGAATTAGTAACTTAGTTGTACTCTGCCAGTGATATGCATAGAGGAGTTGTATCCAAATCTTTCAGAGACTTCTCGATTTTTTTTTTTTCAGATCTTTTCAAAGACTTTAACAGGGCAGGAGAATTATAACCATGTTGTTCTTGATAATGATTGCAAAATTGATGTCCTAAGTTGTAACATCTGGTCAGAAGGCACAAGAATCTGCGAGCACAAACAGGACGTGTCGTGGCGCTTGAGGAAAGCATGAGAGATCAGAAAAAGCGTGTGTTGAAAGTTGTGTCATCAAGTGAGCTGATTTCAAATGAGACAAATTATGGACTTTTCAAATCCTTGTATTAGTCTCTAACTCTTCAACTGGTATAAATTATAGCTCTGCAAAGGGAAATACTAAGCATGGGGTAGCTTTTCTCCAGGCATTTACTGCTCATTAATCAGTATTCTAACCTGGATGGATTTGTTGCCAAAAAGGCACATGGCATGGGAAGGAAAACTCAAGTAAAAATAAAAAATTATTTATTGAAAGAGGATCATAAAAGTCAGATTAACTATAGAGGCTACAATTACTGTGAGCCATAAACTGTCATTAAATATTTGATGCTGCTGCTTTTTTTTTTATTTTGAATTTATTAACATTTGTTATCAGTGGAAAGTCTAATAGTTTTTTTGGCTGTTTACTTCTGCAAAACTTGAAATATATCTATATAGGAGTTAAGTTCAAAAATGGAGGTACTTTACGTCAGCCTACACTCTTCCAAACAGAAAAGGAGACAAAGTGCATGGTACTAGTTCATCAGAAAAACAGGAGAGAGAGACTGGGACTTAAAATTTTCTAAAGTATTGGGAGAACCGCAATGTTGAGGAATTGGAAGGGAAAAAATTTGGCGAAATATGGTTTGTGACATATAAAAGTCAAAATCTTGTGAGAAAACCTAGAAATTGTTTTTGTGGAAAATTCAATTTTTGGTTTGCTGCAATCAGTTCTGTTGCATTAAACTTTCCTCTATAGAAATGTTCCCTCCTTTACTTTCAGATTTTACTGCAATGAAGGCGGCCTCTTAGAAAAGGCGTGAGGGAGTGTTCGCTCGTGTAAGTTTCAAGAAACTGATGCAAGTGTCTAATATAGTTGAGCTTACGTTTAAGGGAGTATCAAACTGTCATTTTTAATGATTTATTTCTGTGTGCAGATGTTCTGGCAAGGGCTATAGTGTTGAAGAAGCAAGAGTGATAGCAAATCCTGGATGCCTTGAGGTGCTGATGTCTGCAGAAAATTGTAGCAAATATTTGCAACCAGTATTGTATTTTTCTAAATTTTATTTCATTTCCTAGGGTTGTACTGCTCACGTTGGACAAGACCCTTTTTTATGCTGGTGGGAGGACATTTCTAGGAGATATTTATTACTATGCTGTTCTTATGTGGATTTCTCCCATTGCTCATTGCAAACATAATTTAAGTAAAAAAGAGCTGATAGTATTCTGAGCCTATAGTGGGAGTTCACATGATTAACAGAAAATGAAATCTATTGCTGAATTAATCTAGAAACAGGGAAGCCATTGCTGATTAAGTTGGATTTGAAGGACAAAGGGTTTATAAGAGCATTATTCTTGTCATATCTGTGAACTTTTATCCCAGAGGTGATTTTTTCACCTCTCAGCAGTCCAAATTTGGTCTACCTTAGAAGTACTATACTGGCTCCCAGCCTCACATCCAACTTGTGGCCTCCTTGTCTTAGAAACTCCATGTTCCTAGCTAGCGTGTGGACCTGGGTGTTGAATTTAGGAATAAATAATAGATAAATTTATCTGTTAAAGCACAGATGTGAGCAGTCCAAATTTTCCTCAGTCTCTTTTTCCTGGAGAAAGAAGACAGCATGCACATTTCTATAGCTGGCCAGTCTTCTTTGTAGTCCAGAAGCAATTTCATCCTCCTACATTGCAGTCCGCCAGAACACTTTGCCATCGCTGTACCTCCCACTAGGATTGCTCTGCTGCACTCATGTGACTTGAGTATCACTTGTGTATTTTGCGTACTATGAAGGGTGGAAGGAATATAAATTCTTCAGTGCTCCTGAACTCTTAATGAAAAATCAGGCAGTTTTCATGATATCTGTTTGTATGTTGGTGAACTGTATACATGGAGTGGAAGTCTTTGATGGAAGAAGAAGAAGCTATTTATTGCTTAATTCTCATAAGGATCAGTACAATGATTTTGCTTTGCTTTTTAAAAAGCTGATCTCTTGATGTTTCTCTGAAGGTGTGAATAGTTGGCATTTTGTGTAGATACAGCCAGCGTTGCCTGGGTGAAAGGAAGAAAATTCACACCCAAACTTCAGAGTATGCAAAAAGCAGCAATTTTTTAGCCTTCTTTTTCCTCAACCATGGGAGTCAGAAATGTGCTTCTGTTATCCTGATGTATTTCACTGCATACAACTGTAATGGGACTGAATGTCCTTGTTTCACCTCTCATCAGGGCTGATCATACTGCACAAATAACTGGTTTTGGAGCATAGGAGAAAACTCCATCCATCATGCCCTAGAGAGAGAGGAGCTGCATGCATGGAATGGGTCAGTTGATTTCTACTCCAGTCTTGGTTCCATGTCCTTATGTCAAATAATGGCTGCACACACGCTGACTCCGCTGGTACTGGTGTGAGGCTGTGGTGTCCCCAGGCAGCTCTGCAGTCATGGCAAGAGCAGCTACAGGCATCTGAGCCCTCTCCACAGCACTTATCTCTGAGGGTAATTTACATTTGCATGGTGATTTGGGGGGCAGAGGAGAATTAAAAAATTATCCGAAAAAAATATTCCACTGTGTTCTAGGGGGATGTTCTGAAGTTGCTTTGTCTTTGGGGTGGCATGGGGCAGAGCAGGAAGCTAGGATGTGCAAAGCAGACTCCTTTCCTGCCCTTCGTGAAAGGATGCTGAGGAATGACAGGGGCACACCAAAGGAACTGGTCAGTTCCTCTTGAAAGGTTTTTTTCTTTTTTTTTAATTGTCCCTGGTTTAAGTTGGGTTCATTTTGATGAAAATACCTTTACTTTTTTTTCACTTTTTCCTCTGAATGTTGACCTCCTCATTTACAAAATGTTTTGCAATAAACTATTGCTGTCATTACTTTTTAAAAAAATTTTTTTTACTTTTCATAACTGACAAGTGCATAAAACCTTCTGCAATGCCTTCATAGCAAATGTTTTTCGGAGCAGACTTCCAGTGAGGATTGCTCAGGTTCCTGCCATCACTGCCACCGTTCACATTTAGCATTAATATAGTTCTGGTCCTTTATGTTGAGGAGACATCCCTCTTGCTTGCTCTTTAGGCCTTGGACCTTGCCATTTTCCATCAAAGCTGTGTTTGCTGAATGGCTGATCTCAAAAACAGAGAGCAGAATGATGCACTCTCTTCTGTCATTTGTTTTTGTTTGGGATTTGCATGACTTTCTAAGAGCAGAACAGCACTAGGAATCAGCTCAATGTTGTAAGGAGCCTGCATGCAAATTCATGTTTGGGGCAGAAATGCTAATTTCTGTGTTCTCTTTTTTTTTTTTCACCTGTGAGGCCCCAAGGCATCTGGAGCTCCTCTCTTCTATTGAAACTTGTCTTTCTTCCCAACCACTTTCCTTTAGAAGGCAGCTGCTTTCTTGGAACTGTCAGTGCCTGTCCCCTGCCACTCGCTCTTGGCTCCCCGGCCAAACTGATCATGGCTGGCCACCATCCCATCAGGCCCTTGGGAAACCCTCTTTGTCTCAGAGGCAGGAGCAGTGAACTTTGTTCCAGTTTATCCTGGCTCTCACCCAAACAGAGCCAGAAGTTGCCTTTTTGAATTGCTTGCAGGTGGGGGGAGTGAATCATTTCCAAATACCTTTAAAAATAATGTTATAACTGATATTGTTATAATGTGGCAGATGGATTTCCTTGCTGCTAGGCCTGCTATAAGAAATTATGCAGCTATTCAATGGTTAATTTTTACTTAATATGCTTAACTTTATCCATTGTTGTCAATATTGAAAGTATTCTTTGACAATTACGACTTACTTTTTAATAATTATACCTTAATAGACTTGTTCTTTTCAATACCAAAGGTGTAGTTTCATCTACATTTGGAAATATGGAGTAGTGGAGACTCAGCTGAGCCGGCATTGTCCATGAGGTTTTGTGTAAAGTGCTTCATTTCCTGTTTGCCATATTGCACGTCACCAGCTCAATACCTGACTTTCCTCGTGAGCTGGGAAATGGAACAAATCTGCAGATCACAAATCGATTGTGCAAGTAGGGCTGTTGATTTAGACATTTAATTAACCAGTTAAATAACTGACTAGATCTGATTAATTAGTAGCTAATGATAAGGTTCTGACAAATTAAATTGATCTCTAGTAACCCTCAGGGCAATTACTAATCGTTGTGATAACTTTTCCCCTGCATTGTTACGACAACCTCAGTTAGAAGTAATGTGATAATTTAGGACTATTATATAAGGCGGTCTCCTTGACACAGGACAGTGCTTCAAGCACTGCTATAATTAATTTGAGGCAATGTTATTCCTAATGCTTCTGAGTGAGATCAGTGATTAAGTAATCATTGATTTTCTAGGCACATTTTTGTAGTGCCATTGCTAATTTCGTATTGCCTGTCAATTCCTTGCCCATTGAAGTGCAGATTGTGGTAGGCAGCCAAACAGAAAGTTAGCAGATATGCTAAAGACAGTGACCAATGTGAGAAATGGAAGGCAAAACATTTATTTTCCAGGTTTTCTTATGACCTTGACTTGGTACTTGGAAAAAACAGGATTTTTCTAAATGCCATCTGAATAGACACTGAGCTATGCACATATTGGGTGCTTCTACAATACAAATGGTTTGACTCATATTGCATATCTCAAATATTTTGCTCAAAAACAGAAAAGCATATGCCTGCACTGGATGTCATCTGAGGGATGCTTGGAAGGCATGTCCGGCAGATTTACTCCAATGTCATCATAATAAGACAATGTCAGGCCGCGTAGATTTTAACTTCCATGAGAGGAGTATTACTAATGGATTAAGATAGGCTTTTTTTTTTTTTTTTCTTTTCCCCAAATGACAATCACTGGAAATTCAGTGGGTTATTTTTCAAGCTATTTTTTCTCATTCTTTTTCCCCACTTAACTTTGCTTTGATCTTTAACAGAGATATTTCTATTTATTTCAGAACAGATGATGCAGGCAAATGGAAATGATTGCAAGATATTTCTGTTAAGTCACTTACTGTATTTCCACATTCATTGCAACATCTATTTCTGATGTACCTACTTGTTTACTACTCTTGAAAGAGCAGGATTGAAGGTGTACCAATAAATAAAGATATGCAATCTGATATTTGTAGTTCAGCTATTGAATCAAAACAAAAAACCCTCAGAAAATTGAATTGGAAATCTTCTACCTGAAACTGCTTTTGGCATAATTTATTCAATTCAGACAGAAATTAAATGACATCTCTAAATAAAGCTAAATAAATGTAGGTTTACAAACTGATAATGTAAAACCATCCTATTTAGATTTAATCCAGTAGATTAATTACATTTTATCCTGTGGGATGTGAGAGATTAAGGTTTGTTTTCTCCATTATAAACCCCTTGAGGTGGAAGAACTTCTGCTGTGTTCAGTTTTATTTTCTCTCTCTCTCTGACTTGCTCCATTTTCCATCAGCATCCACCACAGATGACTGCAATCCTGGAATCTTAAGGGGAGGACTGGAACACCACATCCTCACCTTGGTGATTAGGGTACCCTTTTGCAGGTGATACCCTACTTATTTAATGTCTGCCTGAGTTGGGGCAAAGATATGCACATGTCTTTAGTCTTTAACGAGTGCTATGAAATGAGGTGGTCCAGGCCACTTGTTCTCTTGCTGCATCTTTTCCAGTTAGGAATCAGGACAGACTCCCTGTGATGTAAAATCAGTCCTTGTCTCCTGCTGGCTTGTTAATCTCCTGGGATCAGATGTAGTTTTGTGCTATGGAAAGCCCTTTTAATAGCAAAACCACCAAATACTGGCATGCTCCCGGACTACTGTGAAGCCTGAGGAATGGTGTGGCCATCTCACATCATAGGCGTGGAATGGACATGGCTCAGCAGGAGATCTAACTGTAGTATATGGGAGGGAATTTTGATGGTGGACTACAGCTTCTAGAGACAGCCCTGGTAGACTCATGGTGGTCCATCCAGTAGGGTGGATATAGTATAGCTCTTCTTTAGTGGCTATATTTATCCAACTCCATCACAGAAAGGATAGGTGCTTCTCCCATGGAACAGCTGTGAATAATTGAAATGAAGCACTTTACTATAGTGCAGAGATAAACAAGGCATGCCCTTCCTAAGCGTTGGTTTGGCAGCTGTTGAGTAACATGAGTAAGCATAAAAATCTTAATGTTATTTCACAGTGTAACTTATCTCACTCAGAATAGGTTTATTTGAGGGAAATAAATTTAGGTTATCTATATGAGAGCCAGTCTTTAGTGAACATATATTTACACCTTTCCATACACAGGGAATAATAAACCTTATGCTTGCTTAGAATGAGACAGAAGTTCAATACTGCTTTTGAAATCTGGATGCTGGCTCAAAGACTGCTTAAGCTGGTTTCTGGAAACCAAACAAAAGTTTGAATTAAAGTCATTGAGAAAGACCTGCTGGAAGCCATTTCAACTCTTTTGGCACAAGTCACACAGGCGGAAACATTTCCTTGCCAATTAACTGATGCTTCTCCTCTCATTTCTTGTATAGTGGCAGATTCAAATTTGGCAGTTTGTGTAATTACACACTCTCCTCGCCCCTAAAACCTCAAAGCATACATGAAATGAAGAATTGACAGGAAAAAAAGCCACATGTCACAATAATTAGTATAATTTTGTCTGTTATTCCATTACTTTTTGGCACAACATTTGAAGTTTATTTAATTTGCTTGTACAAGTAAAGGTGTTTCCTCTGCTTGTTTATAATGGCTGTTATTTCTAAACATCCTTGAAATTATTTGCTATAAAATCTTTCCTCATCTTCATAATACTTTAGTTTGAGCCACTTTTAGAAAGTGTGTCCTTCTATTTTTGAATAGAAGAAGCTGAGAGTCAGAAGAATGTGAATTTGTTTGTATTTCTATTTTTGGTTTGACACTGCTGGAAGCCAGTAGGTGGGTTTTTATTTCCCAATATTTTATTTTCAAAATAAAGCATTACGTAGGAGGAATAGCACATACCTTAAATTTTTTGTTTTAATAACAGGAAAATGTTCTTGTTACAAAATCTTCTGAAGTGTCTCTAGAAATCCCTTCTTGCTCACCTCAGCAAAGTCTTCTACTCTCTCCTTTTTCATTGAGAGATTCTTTCATACAAAGAGATGAGTTCTATAGGAATTTTGCTTGCAACAAAGAAGTTGGCATGTTTTCCTTTACTGTCTCTGCTACACAGATTCTTTTGTTATATGTTCATTTTACCAACATAAGGAAAATAATGTAAGGAACAGACTGTTGACTGCAATCAATGTACTAAAGGAAATTGTGTACACAAAGCATGTTACCTTTTTATCTGTGGAATAAAACCCCTAGCATATGCTACTGGACTACACAGATTTTGCTGTCCAGGTTGGAAAGCTACAAGTTGTTATAAGGTAGTGAACTATTAAATCCTCTGCATTCAGTAAAGAGAGTAGACTAATTGATTAAAATTCTCAGAAAACACACAATAACTCAGCTGAAGTGGAAATAAAAATTCTATTGATATCTATCGCACTGGTAAGGGGGTGAAATACATTCCAAGATTTATTTACTTTCTATTCATTTCCTACAAAAACACCCTAACCAACCAATCAAAAGGCTCTGAAAACAAATAAACTAACTAAAACCAGCTCCCATCAAACCATATTGATGAGTTTTAGTATGTTTATTTAAGAGAAAAGCTTGGATAATATTTAGTGGTTCTTACTGATAGTTGACTTCTATATCAGTACAATTATTTCACACAACATAGTGTTACCTTGAGGAAAGACCTGTTTTTGAGAGAGCGAGAGAATAAGGAAGGATGAAGATTTGGCAAGACAAATCACATTAAACCTTTTTTCACTCTGTTGCCAAGACTAATATTAGATGAAAATATAATGAGGAACTAAAGTAAACAAACCTTCTCTTTTTACAGCTTTCTCTCTAAACTTTGAAACCATTCATGGAAGCTGATGGGAATGCCCCTGTAAGTATATCTGAAATGATGCCAGTTTTTGATCAGTTGAAGAGGTCATAGAACATCAATATTTGAATGGTATCTTGCTAATGGGCCAAGTCAAGTGTTGAGACTGTCACTGGCTGTTCCAGTTCTACTCTTCAGGTGAAACGGAGTCTGTTGCGTAGGCCTGAAGCCTTATCTTCCAATCCTACCTTTTAAAGGATGAGGAAACAATAACTTAGCGCACATGAGCTTAGAAAATGATTTTTCTTAGACATACATCTGTAGGACCCTTGAGGTTTTAGGAAGGTATAGCTCTGTAGAAGATCAGCTGTTAATTGCAGCCTTTTTGTCTTCTCAGACTCATGATTCATGACTAGAACTTCAGGTGACATGAAGCCTGGTCTTCGGTATTAGAGTGCTGCTCCTGCTTTTGCTCACTGAAAAAAATTTCTTTCCCCCACAAACAGCTTCATGCACCAATTTCACTCCACTACTTTCTTCTTGAGCATTTGCAAGCTGGAGCCCACACAGTCTCCAAGAAGAGGCATCACCTGGGCAAGAATTGACTGCTTCTTGGCAGTTTTCCAGAGGGATGCTGCCCTTCATTAGCAGGGGTAATTGCTCAAGACCTCCTATTTGGGCTAGGAATATATGGCAAAGGTGCTACATACTTCAAATGTTTTGATGTTTCAAATCAAATATAGGATCTCTAAACAGGCAAAGTTCTCATTTAAGATACAACTTCTCTTGTACTTTTTTTGCTTACTGATGGAGCCAACCTGGCACAGAACTGGTTGAGAACAAAACCCAGTTTTTTGCAGCTGGCCTATGCGTGTATTTGCCAAGTGGAGAAGCAATGGGCAGTGAGCTTAAAGCCTGTATTTTCATGCAGAATCAGTATCCCATTTTGTTCCAGCCTTTGGATATTACTAAACAGATGAACAATCCCAAATGTATAAAGGAGAAAAATAAATAAATAGATAAAGATACCCAGTACTGACAGCCCTGCATAAAAATTACAACAGAAGTTACACTAACTCTAATATTTTGCATTTATTTCACACCTGTATGAGGATTATTGTTTTCAGACATGTTCTGCAGATAGAAATAGATTTTTTTCTTATTTCTATTTTGCCCTGCTCAACCTGTGATAGTGAATATTTTTTGCCATCAGGAAATTGAGCTTTGGAGGGAAACATCAATTTTTGTCAGAACAGTAGTGAAATCATGACATTTAGTTAAGTTGCAGTTGTTCCAGTAAGTATGTGTGTCTAGAAGTTAAAGTGTGTTTGCTTCTGAAACTGCTGCTATGTGACTTATTGGTATTATTGGTTTTACTGGTAACTCTGTATTCCACATTCAAACTTTTTTCTTTGTTCTGAATTGGTGCTATCCCTTGCTACCCTTGCTAGGACTGAAACTTAAATGTGCCTCTTAACCTCTGTTCACCAGGGTTCACTGAAAAGGTTTTTCAAATCTCGTATGCCAATTTTCAGAGGAGGAGCATTTAATTTACATTTTGAGGAAAGATTTTCAGCTGCAAATGTGTTGATGTTCTTGTGGAAAACTGAATCCAAGTGGAGAAGCATTACACGAACCTTATGGTAGATTAATGCAAATATAGAATTTTTTTCTGATTGTTTAAGATAAAAACATTCTCATTTTTAATTTTTGTTCTAATTTTTTTTTTTTTTAATTTCATAAAGTATCTATTTAACTAAAAGCACTGGTGCAGTAGAGAAAGGGTTTTATTTATTTTTTAAAAAAATCTACAAAATTTAAGAGGGAAGTTTGGATGAACAATACTGGATTTCATTGCCTATTCCTTTGCTGTGCTCTGCGACTAGAAATTCCATCTTGTGAAGAATGACACATTTTTTCAAGATGACTTTGACCTTCTGGGCAGAACTAGAAATGTCATAAAGTTGTTGAATTCTTATATTTGGATTAATTTGTTAAAAATTTATGTTTTCTTTCAGGAATCCTATGAAGGATAAATTGAACTTAATTCATGAAATTTCACTGAGCAATGATTTTATTATGGATTTGTCACTGATTTTATGCAGGCAAACTAAATGTAATGCTGTCTTGAGAAACAGCCCTTCCTCCTCTGATTAGTCTCCCAGTTCCTCCAGTGAAATATAAAGAGATGGAAATCCATCACCCCCTGTCAACTGCCAGGAGGAAACAATCATTGTCATTGAATAATAAATGCAATAGTTGTGTGAATGCTTTTTTTTTTTTTTTTTTTTTGCTATTCCAATCTCTTACTGGGTAATCATTTTCCTCTTCAGCCTATACATAAAGCAGAGTCTAGCAGAGATTTAGGTAATACAGATGTTAACCTTCTCTTTATGAATGATCCATAGGCCAGGCTATGTTATGTTAGATCATCAATAAGGCTAGTGGAAAGACCTACTTCTTCCTCAGTTGCTTATAGAGAGCCACATCCTATGTCAGGTTTTCTTTTATCGTTGTACAATTTTATGTTGGTTAAAGGTGAACTGACCCCTCCGTAGTGTATTGACAAAGATGTAATATCATTCTACTTCGTAGCTTTTGCTTAAAGATAATTAATTCTTATTTGCTTTCCTTAATGCCACTTTGGTCGCACTAAAGGAATAGGTGATTAGTGTGACTGCGTGATCTATTGATTCACTGAGAATATGTGTTATTTCCATGGGCCCTAAAATAAAGCATTACTTTTTTTGAATTGAAGATATGAGAGTTGGCCCACATAGGATGGGAAAATAATGGAGGTTCCAATACAACTGATGTGTTTTCTCGCTGCTTTTCTTCATCTGTTGTCATGGAGAAGTTAGAGAGACTGAGAGATCATGGTAGAATTAAGAAAAAAATAGGCAAGCTGAGAGAAGAATATATGATGATTAAACAGGAATCTGAGATTATTCATTCCTGGTTAAGCCTCAGATCATCTCAAATAAGCGCCAGATAAGCACAGGACTTTGCAATATGCAGTTCTGCTCTCTAATATATGCTGCAAGGATAACTGGTTAGAGAACACTCCAGCTCTTGTAAGTACTGATACCAGTGGTTTCTTGTGATATTGTTTCCGGATGCTGTAGCTTTACTCATTTTTAATTCACCTGTGAGAAGAGCTATCAAATCCTTCAACAATAGTATGAAAAAGGCTTTTGTTTGCTCTAAGGCTGCTTGTTAGCTCTGGGAGACTGCATTAGGAATGTTCCTAGCGTAGCTCTGCAGCGGATCAGGTAGTTACCAGCTTTGCATAGCAACGTTGTGGCCAAGCATATTAAACCATGCATCACCTTATCTAGCGTTCATCATCTGGAGGTTTCAAAACCTTTCTGAGAAAATAAACGGTGCGAATTTTTTTGTTTCCATGCTGGAGATGGAAAGGTTGAAATCAAGAGAAGTGAAGTGCTTTAACTATAGTCGGCCAGTCTGCTGGTAGAGGACTTGCTCTAAAACCCAGACCCTAGATTTCTGATGACCTCTTTCTCAGTCTCTGGTCTCCTGTTTTAATTTCATTTTCTGTACACTACAAAAGAGTAAAAGTAATTCGATTATGTTATTTTTGCAGTGAGTAATATTTTCATGTACTATATGGCAAGACCCTGGTGTATTTATGCATTGTGTTTTGGATAATCTGCCAAACTAGTATGATTTATTTACTTTTCTTTTTGAAATTTATTAAACTCTTACTCGTGTATGGAGAAATACAGTCTTTGTATTAAAAATATATATGACAAAGTAAAGAGTAGTGAAAAATGATTTTCTTTTTCAGGACTGCTTAGAATGTGCTAAAGGACAATCAAACTTGGCCATGTATTTTTTATCACTGCATATTTGTAAATTTCCTTCCTAGAACCATTAAAATGCTGGAGTCCTAACTTTTATTTTTTAACTTTGCATAGAATGCAATTCAGACAAGAACATAGCAAAGAAGCTGCCTGTGGGTGTGAAGCAGGAAGCACTAGCAGACAGACACATGTATAATAGAGTTACATTTGCTCTTGTTCAACTACACATACATCAATTCTAATTAACACATTTTCTGCTTCAGCTACTAACATCCCCTCAGCAGCAAGCGACTTATGTATTTCCATCCTGCACGCACCACCAGCATCACCACCACATCCTTCTCTAGCATCCCCCTCCCCTTTCTAGACAAATGTTGCAACACAATCTGATATTTCCTCTTTTCTTTCCTTCCTGCATTTCTTACAGGTTCCCTTGCGTCAGAAGGCAAAAAAGAAAAGTCAAGGTAATTACAGATTTTTTTTCTATTCTCTTCCTCTTCTGTTATTTTCTTAGTATGTCTTGATCTTGGGAGGGTGAGGATTTTATACTGCTGCTCGGCTGGTAGAAGGCTGCTTTTTAACTACTGTTTCTTGAACTAATTCTGGAAAAAAAAAAAATGACAGCATGCTGGTTTTTTGGACGAAATCCTTGTGGTATGTTAATTCATTCAAAGCTGGAAATTGACAAGGTAGAACCAGGCAGATGCATGCACACACACCAGCGGTTTTCATGTATTTGGCATAATAGTTTTCTCTCCTGACTTAAATAGATGTATTGCTTTTCAGCACAGCTGCATGAAGAGAAATGCATGCATGTTTCTTTTAAAAGGATCAAGAGGTATATATATGATTTACAAAAACTTGTGTACGGTTATCTTAACATTAATTAGTATCTGCATTATATATGGCTTACTGTTTTTTTAATGCATATCAGAATGCCTTTTCAAATGCATGTGTATCACTGTCACAGCTGTTACAAAACAGAAAAACTTCTAAGTATATTTTAAGATATGCTTGGATGACTTGTTGAGATCACTAAATAAGGCTAATATCTTTAATTGTCCGCAGCATTTTTCCTGGTAATTTACTTTTAAACAAACATAATACTGTATTTTTACTGGCACAGGGTTCTTTATAATGAGTCGACGGAGGATATCATGTAAAGAACTGGGGCAAGCTGATTGCCAAGGATGGCTCTACAAAAAGAAGGAAAAAGGAGCTTTCATTGGTAACAAATGGAAAAAGTTCTGGTGTGTTCTGAAGGAGTCATCGTTATATTGGTACAGCAGTCAGCTGGTGAGTACTGTGTCTACCCAGCTCTGGGGATGGACACAAGGCATCTGCAGGGACCAAGACTAGGGGTGCTGGGGTCACAGTTTAGATTCTTTGTTTCTCAGGCCTGACATCTAGGAAGTGTCTATATAAATATGAAACATTCAGAAAACTGCATTTTCTAGTACAGTGAGTACTTGAGAGCTGTTAATTTGCAGCTTGCTCTGCTCTTTGAAGAACTGATCTTTGCAGGAACTGCTTGCATTTGAATCTGGAAAGGTTTCCTTGGGTCGTGCAGTTTGTAGATAGTTGCTACCAAGACTCAGAGCAGGAATGTTTCCTAACTTCTAGCTAGCTTGATTTTGAGAGGTCTATCTCCTGCTTCTTTCTGCATTTGCTTCCATGCGAGATTCATTTGTCTATTTGTTGTTTTATTTTTTGCTTGCTTTTTTTTTGTTTGTTTATTGCTTTTCTCTGTTTGAGCTGGTAGGGTTGCAGGTATTTGCAATGGCTCTTTGTAGTGACTTTACATCTCATTTGACTGATGTCTCATCCGGAACTCTGTAATTAAAGGCTCACATGTTCTGCTGCTTTTTAATGTCCTGCTCTAACGAGTCAATGCTAAAAGTAAAAAAGAAACAGTATTTTGAACAAAAGGTCCATTTTTGGTTCAAGGGATGAGCTTTTCTCAGGACAGCTTGCATAGATAGCATTTCTCTTTTTGTTAACACAGCCTGAACAGCCTACTCCACTTACAGTGTGAGTGGAGAATAGTCTGAGACAAAGAACAATAGGCACTGAATTTATGTGATCAATTAAAGAAACTAGAGTCACAGTGAGAAACTCAGAGAAACTCTGGAGTCCCCTCTGTAGATGGCTGTGTTCTGTGCCTGGCTGCAGCACTCAGGGCACTCTGCAGATGTGTTTCATGTGGGTTTCAGATGGGTTGTCAATGGAAACTGATAGCTGAGTGTAAGACTCAGGGGGTCCTAGGGATTAGCCGATTTTATTCCAGGCTGTTTGCTATAGCTCCGCTTGCGTGAACACATTTTATGTTTTGTGTGCCCTAGGAAGATTCAGATATTGTTGTTCATTTCACTTTCTTGCACTGTTACTTCTGAAAAGTCTCCCATCATATTCTAAGGATGGACTGGCAGAGCCCAGAATTGAAGTGTGTGGAATGTTGGGGGGATGCTAACATCACTGGTTGAAAATGAGAAGATTTAGTGCAGGATTATGAATGGTCTTCAGATTTCTTAAATGTAAAAATGCTACGCTGAAAATGAGGATGTCCCTCATTTTACAAAAGATGAAAGATTAAAGACACCTGCATTAATCCTAGAGCATTTTAAAAAGTTAAATGCTGTATGGGTTCATTCCTATAGCGAGTTTATTCCTATAGCAATAATCCACATCTAGCAACATATCTCATTCAATGTACAAATTAAATAGAAAAAAAATCCTTTCTCTGATGAAAAGTATTTCCTATTTTCCCTTTAGCTGCAACTGTATCATGATAAAAATTTTAATAGACATTTAAAAAAATAAATAGCATTTAAAATTGATATGTAGTATTCTTTTTTTGGAGTAAAGTGAAAGCAACTCTACTGTTTGTGGGTTGTTTTTATTTTTTTGTAGTGTTTGGTAGTCTGAATGAGCTTGCTTTCAAGCCCAAGTGCAATTGTAACAGAAAGGTGAGCTGGCTGACCGACACGCCTGTTAGATGTGAGAAGTGTTGGGACAGAAATGATTCTGAGGAGTAATCAAGATAGAATAAATACAATGATGAGACAATGTACGGCATATATTCCATTTTGGAGGAGGAAGGTGGTAAGAGGAGAGTGCAAAGTTCTCTTCGTCCTTTTCTTTTAGTAAATTTCTCTCAGGATACAGAGGCGCCAAGATTGACCCCAGTGCTCCAAGACTGCATTTGATACTTAAGTGAACTCATCTTTTTAGTCCACACCTCCTTCACTGCTGTCACTGACTGTCCCCAAAAAAACAAGGTTGAAGAGCAGGTGACAGCCTCGTTCCAGGAAGTTACATTCACTCTGAAAAGCTCACACAGCTACACCTATCACAGTACTTCTTGGAAGCGTGCTTGCTGGTAGTACCTCTTTGTTTTCAACTTCTGCTGACTCTCGCACACTATTTTATGTTAAAAATCTAAAGGACAACTTAAAGTACAGCCTCTGCACAAATTTAGATTCAGGCAACATTTGCAGAATCACAGTAACTGTAGGGTGCTGAAAGTAAGGGAGGTGTCCTTTGCTAAAATACACTTGCTTAAATTGATGAGACCAGAACCATGCTTAGTACCACTGCAGGAATTATATCTGAGATCACAGAAACACAGAAATGAATTTGACAGGCGAATTTGACACACTGTATTTTCAGAAATATTTTTCCCTCCTGAATTATGAAGGAAAAATAATGTTACATTCTCACTGGCTTGCTTTTGTTGTTTCTTTTTATTCTGTACCTGGTCTGCATTTCGTACCTTCATCTTCAGTAGAGCTAATCCTCGGTCACAGCAGGGCAACCAACACAGCACACCTGGGTGTGCTGAAGGAGGATCCCTGCTTCTCACACACTTCAGACTTCCCATGGTGGGCCTCTCAGTCTGGAGTGAAAGGCAGTGATGGAGGACGGGGCTAAGGTCAAGTGAACTGGGTTACGCTGACTGCTTGTAGCTCTGCCTGACCAGTTTCGTTCCTGTGAGAAACAGGAATATTTTGCTAGTGCCTGTGCAGAAACTGCAGTCAACCAGACACTAGCAACTGTAGCATAGCAACAGGGTGCTGGACCTAACCTTTTTTTTTCTGATGGAGTTGGAGAAAATAAAGAGTGGGTGGAATTTTTAACTGAATGCGTGCTATTGCAGATTTGGGTGGATAACCTCAGCTGACATCATGTTCTTGGTGAAGTCTGTCTTGAGGCAATCTCTGAAACTCTTGAAGTTTCTGTTGCCTGGATTTAATCTGCCTTAGGTTCACACTGATTCTGGATCTTCTGTATTAGGCAGAGTGGTAGAGTCAATATAGGACACTTTGGGTGACATTTGCTGACAGTAGCTCTTTCAGAATAGAGTAACAAAAACAAAACAAAACAAAAAAACAACAACAACAACAACAACAAAAAAGACCAGAGCCCAAATAATAAAATGCTGAGAAGGGCCAGAAATCAGACACTGGGGTCATCCTTCTTATCTACTGCAAGGAAAGTAGAGCACATAGATAAATCCAAACAACCTTTTCAGTCTCCATCTAAAGTGTTGAGATTCTTGAAGTTAGGGCATCTGTAGGCTCAGCAGCGCTGGGTAGACTTCTCTGAAACATGTTCCCACACAAACTTGATCTTTTTATGATGCACAGATATCATATGAGATAGATAAGCCCATACTGTAATTTATTTGCAGTGTGGATATTCCCACAGTCTAGGCAAGGAAAGTTGTATGGTGTAGGAGAAAACAAGGAAGGACTCAATTTTCAAGGGAGATACAGAACATCAGAAAAATGAATTTGAGCAGTCAGATTTTGTGGATGCGTTCAGGAAAACTGGACTCCTTGGAGAGCTGCTTTCTTAGTGTTTGCTTTCCTTTTTTCACTACTGCTCTCCGTAGGCACATGTGTCTTGGAAATGGGTTTAAAAAGAATGTTGTGTGATCCTGTCCACCCAGTGGTTTTAGTTCTTTCCTGTTGACTCACATTGAAAACCTTGAAGGAATCGGTACTTCTGCATATGGAAAAGGACAAAGGGTGAAGTTTAGCCAATATGATCCTGTGTTCCTGGCTGATCTTGTGCTTGTTGCAGATACCTGAATAATGCTGGCTGGAAAGGGACAGAGGACCAAACTCCTCTGCTCCATGTGCCTTTAGGACAACTTGACTGGTTTTCGAATTGAGGTTGAACACAGTTTTGCAAGATGTGTTAATGATGGTTGTCATGGGGATACAACTGAAAAGAAATATAAATATGAAATCAAAGGGTTGCAGGCTGTGATCTGCTGTCACTACTCCTCTTTGTTTTTCTCTCTGCATTCACTGAGATTAAATTGGTCCCCGCTCACAGAGCTTTGCCAGGAACTGCATAATTGCGATATTTAAAAGTAGGAACCTTTCACCTTTGAGTCACAGAAAATGCTTGCATGCATGATACAAAGCCATTGATGTCAGCAGATCACTGAGAGCTTAGTGGACCTCTGATCAATATATTACACAAATTATTCACAGCTCTGTAGGTTGTCTCAAGTGGCAGAGAAAAAAAAGACTAAAGACGTCTAAATATGTTGAGGACTGAACTATTCCTCCAACAACCACGAGGTCTTCTGTGGTCAGTGCTAAAACTCTGGCTGAAACCATCAGGAGTACCTTGAATTGCAGATCAGAGCTGTTCTGCCATAATTAGGGATTTTCACTTTTCAGCACTATTTATTTTTTAAAATGTTTTGCATCTTTATATTCACTTCAAATATTGAATAAGATCTAATAAATGATTTACCAAACCTCCTAAATAAACTAAAATGCGTATAATATATTTAGAAGCAAACTAAAAATGTTATTTACCTCTTTCATTGGGTTCCTTCATTATGTTTAATTAATATAATTTATTTATTTATTTTAAATACTGAAAAAGTGTGAGTTTTTTCCTCTTTCTGTCCCAAGAATTTACAAAGGCAGTTTTTTTTGCAGACATTTTGCTTTCTACTGTGGAGAACAGCAAAAAGTCTAGCTTTGTATGTGAAGCAAATGTGTAAAAACAAACAACAACAACACAACATGTAGCAGCTTATTCTTTTTAAAATCCTGACAGAATAGCAAGCAGGTCAATTTTATTTTAATCTGAACTTTCAGGTTTTTTTTACATCCTGGAAATAAAATCCTAAGGAAGCTTGACTGAAATGTGAGTTAAATACAGCATACTTAAAATCATGTTAAAGATAACATATTGGATAAAAGTAAATATTCTCTGCACTTTCAGTGTTTTAAAATATTATGGTTATCCCAAGAAGATTTCCTTATGTTTATTTGAAATTTTACTTTCTGACTGTAATGACACGCAAGGAAAAAAACCCATAACACTTATATCCATTTTTTTTTTCCTCTCCTTCCTTTTGTCTGACAATAATGGAGCTACGTCAAACACCTAGGCACACCTGAGGTGCAACCAGTAGTGGAAAAAAAAGTAGTTCCTACAATTCATGCTGTTATCTTTCTTTCTCTCATATATAAAATGAAACATGAAAATTTTCTTACAAATAAATGTGAAATCATGGGTAGCATTAACACAGAGCTGAAATGTGATGCATTGAACATCATCTAATTTTTTTTGCCACTGGAACATGCTAGATGCTACATAAGAATGGAGAGTTCTCTGTAGTAATACTAGTAAATGAAATCAAGGCTTACTTGTCTATTCCCATGAAAAATTTAAGAGAGTATTCTTCTAAATTAGATGCTCATTTAATGTGCCAGTGATTGAAGTTAAAGTCCCATCTCTGCATGAATGGGAGCACCCCAGATGTCTCCCCACACTGAGTTACTCAATGCAGCTGATTTAATGGCCCAGTACATAACCTGAACACTCTAATCCTTGTATAAATACTTATATAGTGTGTGAACTTATTCTCCTCATGAATGTCTGTTTAGCCTGGTGCAGGCTATGCTATTACTGGTGAAGATGTAAAATATAAATCTGTTATGAATGTTTAATGCATGTAAACTAGATGAATGATTCTTATATTTTGATTTACCTTATGGTAAATCTTTTTAGAGATTTATACTTTCAAGAGTTAAAAATCAAAGGCTTGTCTTGAACATCTTTTTATAGTCTTTTCATATTCATGCATAGTCTGACTTCAGTTGCTGTCAGTCATCTCCATTTGTTCTCCGTCTTTGTAATTGTTGTGTATATTTTACCTCTGTTAACTCAGTGTACATTTTCAGAATTGTAATGTGGCCAAGGATAAAGGCTGGGAGCAGTAATGAATTGATTTAGGAGTTAATGTTTTCTGTATTTTAAAATGTACTTTTTGTTGCTGTTTTTTGTTTATTTGTTTGTTTAATATCACTATACGCTGCAGAATTTTGTCTGTGTAATTGCCACTCTTAGGAGCAGTCTGTCTCTTGTGGCTGATTAGGTGAATGTAGATAGATGTAGTAAAAGAGGATGTTTCAGCCGTAGGCAGCAAGAACATGGATTTGAGGCCTACAAATAGCTTCTGGATTGCTGATACTGCTCTGACAGGGTCTGGCTGATAGGTAGTAACAGAGGTGTTACTGATTCATTTTCCATATGTTCACAACACTTGGCTGGTCTCTTTGTTGAACCATATCATGTGATTATGAATTGCTGCATAGGGTTTGGGTTCCTCTAACTGTTGCTTTTGGTCCTGGTTTGATCAAAACCTAGATTTTGCCCATCGCAGTTTCAGACTCTGGGTTAGACTTACAGCATAATCATACATCTTAGGTAAGGGTGCTCTATAACAAACAAACAAAAAATACCCTGTAGTCACGAAGTGGGCCAATCTACCCTAGAATTGTTATATGAGTTGAAGATTCTTCCTTCTTCAGATTATTTGGTGTGGTGTATAACAAATCCTATTCTCACACTCTTACACAGACAAGAGTGGTGGTTTTCCAGTACACAGGACTTGGACTTGGACTTGGACAAAGGGTAGCTGGTGTAGGAACAGCTCTTTTCCTCAAAGATAGCTAAAACATAGGGCGTTAATGTATCCCCATGGTGATGAGAATGTATTTTTATAGTATAAAAAAGCTAAAAACAAGCACTTGCATGTTAAATAACGTTAAACATTGAAGCCTGTTAGTTTGCCAATTGGTTGATCTGTCTTTATTTGTTTATTTACTGCAGGCTGAAAAAGCAGAAGGATTTATCAGACTTCCAGACTTCAGTGTGGACAGAGCAACGGAGTGCAAAAAAAAGCAGTAAGTTTACCACTTAGCACTAGTTTTGCATGGTTTTTTACGTTGATGCAAAGTACTGTATTTCAGTATTTCGTCCTGACACTGAAACTGTGGGGAGCTCTTCTGTGTTGTATAAATAATGAGATGTTGAATGTGTTTCTGAAAAAAACCCAGCATATATACCAAATACATTTTTGAAAATTCTCTGGCAGATGTGCTCTACTAAAACTGCAATTAAGAAGTAAAACAGTATGCCAATTTATTATTACTATTATTATTGTTTTCTTCTTCTTTGTTCACTGCTCATGAATAAATGACAATCTGTCTTAGATGCCTTCTGTTGAGTGGAGAGTTCAACAGTGATTCAAATAATGATGCTTACATTTCAGTGGAGACTATTTGTGAGGCTGCTGTGGTACAACTTTTGGATGTACTTAAAGTCTCAGTTTGTGCAGAGAATGAAAACTTTGTTTAGCAGTGAACACAACTAAAAATACTGCCTCCAAACCCCATGTGCAACATTGACTTCCAGCTGTTTATGAGTACACTTCACGAGTTTAGAGGAGTGTTGCTGCTGTCCAAAGCCTTTTTTGTTTTGGTCACATGCTCTGCTGAGCTGTATGTGTTCCTGAGATTAAAGGAGTCAACAATTTTGAATACTAGGAGCTCTATTTTATTTTGTCAGAAGGAAGATGGTTGAATCATGAAACACAGGACCAAAAGAAATTGTTTTCTTTCAGTTCTGTAGCGACGGCTCTCTGTGACTGATACGTTTGTTTCTTTCTGGGTATGGAGTAAGTTAGGGGAGGACGGTGAGGACTGGGTTGCTTGGTCAGCTGGGGCCCTGCCAAACAGTCTGTACTTCCACAGGAGAGTGTCATGTCACAGGGAACATAAGAAAACTATGCAGTCTCAGAGCCAGAGACAATGTTTTACAAGGAAAATTACTCTCTAAGATCGTACTGATGGATATTCAACTAAAGCATGGTCTGATGCTGAAACAAATGAGTGTTACAAATGGGTGTGGCACATGTAATTCGCAAACGGTGTTGGTTTAAGGGACATTGTATACGGTCAGAACAGATCATGCCCTGCTGGAAATGCGCCAGTGGGAAAAAAAAAGTTGAAGACTTTTCTTTCATTTTACACTGCTAAAATGTTTCAGTTGGCTAGCTCCTTTTCCACCATCCTTCATCATTCTCTGTTACATTGTTGATTACTTTTTTTTTTTCTTTTCTTTTCTTTCTTTTTTTTAATGTGGATGTAAAGGGAGTCAGAGATCACTAATTTTGTGTGCTGCAATATATGTCACCTTGGATCCTGTTGTCTTTCACTCAAGAGAGACACTCTTGCACTCCAGGAGCTTGAGTGTTGTGGCAAAAAGACACAGGGGCTAAGGGTTGGGTTCCTGGGATTTAGGAATTTTGATTCCTAAAGGAAATCAATCCTGCTTTTTAAAGTTTATTTATTTAATTTATTTCCCCTAACATGTCTATTATGACTGCCAAGTATTCTTCTAAGTATGTTCTGTAGCTGGTGACCTACAGAGCAGTTGATATCAGGAGTAAATTTCCTTTTTCTTTCTCCTTTTCTTGAAGGAGCATCAAAATACAGTATGTTAGAACAGTATATAAGAGGTGCATGTTGGTCAACAGTTGAGGTAAAAATGTTTTTTTCTGAATTGGTGCTTTCCTCTCAAGGCAGCTTTAAGAATGAGCACACTGGATCAGACCAAAGCAGTCCAACTTGATATCTTGCCTTCTGAATTGGCCTAAGGCAGGTGCCTAGCAAAGATTAAATGAAAAGAGAAAACTTACAGTGCTATTTACTTAAAATGCTCCTCCATCCTTCAAACAATTTACCAATTGGAATCTTTCTGAGTCAGAAGAGGGTTAGTGTATTCATTAACTTTCGGTAATTTCCACCAGGTGGAATTCATTAAGGTTGATGTAACAGCATTCATAGGAGAAAGATCCAAGTCACTACCTCCATTTTAATTTTTTCAAATCTCCCACCTAATTGCCTCTTTGGTGAGTCCTACAACTTATAATGGAAAAAAAACCAGCAAAGCGTCAGTTCCTGTTTAACAGCGTATGCCATGAGTGACATTACTGTATCATACCTCTCTTCTTTTTACCATTAGTTCTATGTGTTGTGGTTCTTAGCTTGATTAGTCATACGCAGAATATATTCTGTATCTTGGGTCATCCTCAGCACTTTTTCTGAACCTTTTTCAAGTTTGTTTTATTTTCGAGTTGGAATACGTATATTCAAGATATTGGCACATTATGGGGTGGCATAATGAAAGCCTTTGTTTTATTCCTTATTTGTTCATTTGTTATTCATAGATTTCATACTGAATACTACATGGACCAGGAAATGAGCTAAAAAGTAATCCTGAATTTTAAGGAAATGACTGTATGGATGGATAAGCTGATCTGGATTAATATAGTGGAATGAATAAATATTTAAAATATTAAAATCATTCAGCTACTTTTTCTTATGTAAAGAAGTTTTTCTCATCTCTCTTTTATTTTATTTTATTTTTTTTTCCTTCAAGTGCTATTAAGATCAGCCACCCACAGATCAAGACATTTTATTTTGCAGCAGAAAATGTTCTGGAAATGAACACGTGAGTAGAGAGTGACTGGCCCTATTTCATCCTGTCTTGCATCTGAAAACACTTTGAAAGTTCATTCTCTCACTGTTGAGCAGTTGTTGATGAAGTTCTTCAGGGTATTACTAAGTATATATATTTTTTTCCACATCACTAAATAGAAGGAATATACTACTAATTTGCTCACTAATAGAGTTGAAATCAGTATCTGGTAGTTGGTATAATTTTGTTACTGGACTGCAAATATTTGAAGGAATTCCTTTCCACTAAAGAGGTACAAAGATTTCTAGCAAGTTAATCTTCTTGGAAGAAGCAAGGGAAGAGAGGAAAGAGAGGAAAAAATGTACTTAGCTTTGCTCCAGAAATGATCTAGTGCTTGAATGTAATATTGTTTGCTTTCAAAATAGCATGCCAGCTAACAAGGATAGTTAGAAAGATATAAACAACTGTTTTTTATTTTAACTAAACATTTATTTCACTGCCAAACTATGTTGCAGTTAAGCAATCTTTATGCCAGAGTAGACATTTTCTTTCCACAAATGTCTATAGGAACAACAATTCACTCATGCTGTTTTTTTAATGAGAGCAGTAAAAATGGGTACCTAATAGTGCCTTTTTAGGAACTACTGAGTTATTAGAATCAGATATTACTTGCAATTGATCCAGATTGGACTGATTTATATACATTCATATCTTCTTTGTATTTATTACTTCAGAACATATTTTGTTCACAATGCTTTTTCATTAAATGGCCAAAAAACAGGTCCAAATCAGTTTAGTTGAAATAGGAAGACAGATAGATAGGGCCAAAGTTTAATCTTGGCTGTACTGGTGACCTTTGTGAGATTCCTCACAAAGAGTTGACTTTTCATCCTAGAGACCCCATAGCTCTTCAGCACAATGGAAAGGAAAAATGTTGAGAGAATATGTGAGACCTTCTGAAGTAACTTCAGAGACAGAAAAGAACTGTACACATCTATTTATAAATCCGGACTGTATAGATACATGTAAATATAGATGTGAGAACCTGTTGCCCTTCGCAACTTGGAGAAGCCTAGAGTTTGCAGCTGGGGAAATGACTGTCTATTTCTGTATGGCTGCACTTCTTACCAGAGTTCTTCAATACAGTTGAGGGGAAGAAGGCCTGAGGAAGACTGAAAATGGCCAGAAATACTTCTGTAAAGAAACTGACTGACTGAGAGAAGGATGGATGTAGGGAGGAAAAAAAAAAGGAGAGCTAATGGAGGACATGTGAACATTAACAACTAGTTCGGAGCCCAGCTGGAAATTGTCAGTGTCTTAATGACATTTTGGAAATGTTTAGTCTCATGTAAGTGAGCGATTGAAATCTACACAGGTGTCTCCTCTCTTATGCCCCAGAATGATTTTCTTCAAACTCCACTTCTAGAGTAAATTTCATATTGGCTGAAAGCTAAGTAGCCTAGCACTGGAGCAGCTTGTACTATACTGTACTACTCCTAATTCCTTACTGTTGTAACTGATGATGTTTTCCTTGGCAAAGTATAGAATACATGGATTTAATACATAAAGTACATGCATGCTCACGCATATGTCAAAACAGACTAAAAGACATCTGTTTGCTTGGCTCCATTCCCACGCATATATATGTATGTGAGTGGTTCCACTGAAGTTGCTGGGGCATTTCTGTATGTAGAGTTACTTGTGTACTTAAATACTTGGTAGATCACGACCTTTTGCAACTCTCATGCATATATGTTGATTAAGACACAGTGAGTTTATTAATTTAGTAGTTTATTTCATTAATTCAGCATTTATTTGTCATAGTAATGCAAATATGAAAGGCAAATTTGTTTTCTTAAATGCACACAATTACTAGTGGTCTGTCTTACCTTGCTCTTATTGAAATCTTGTATTGGCAGCATTTTTGTTTTGTTTAGATTAAAAACAAAAACATTCTGTTAAAATTTTTCTGTTAAAAGAAAGTAATTAATTTTTACAGGGATTGCACTTTTTTTTTCTGAAATTTTTATGCTGCTCAATTGTATATATGATAGTCTAAAAACCCAGTTACATTACCATTGTTCTAACTAGACAATTTTTCAATATTCAAGTACTTCAGTACAATCAAGATCTAGCACCATATTTTCTCCAAGTTATGAATTTTAATTGCTGCCCTTCTTGCATTCTCTCTTTAGGCCTTGAGTTTAATCTGAAAGACTTGAGGTATTTTAATAATTAGCTTCTTAAAACATGGATAGTTTCAAATGACTTAAAAGCAAACACAGTACACAAAGGGTATTATCAAGGGCAGCTGACATCATCTTCTATGGCTCCTTTACCTTTTTCATCACCTTGGATGAAAGATAATGTCACTGATATTCTGTTATAACGCTAATCATTTTCCTTTAGCTTCCAGAAATGCAGTTCTTTGGTCATCGGTAGTGTTTTTCCTCAACATGAGGAGGAAAAAATGTCCCAGACTACTAGTCCTGCTCATCAGGTCCAGTCTGAGAAGAGCATGAGGGCTGTAAAACAGAACTACATAGCTTGCTATAGTATTTGATTGACAAAAATCCATATATAGAAAAAGAAACCTCTTGGTAGTCTATTACATATTACAAGGTTGGCCTATGAGTTGCTCAGTGCATTTCTCCTTCTGTTGGCAATTCAATCCTACACAGTTGTTAAAAGGAATGGGAATGTTAGTTATCAGGTCAAAGGTGTTTTCTTAGGAAACACTGAGATACAGAAGGAAACATTCAGACTTTGGGTTAATGAATATACATGTTGAAAGGGGAGAAATAGTCAAAATAGCATGTAAATATCGCTAATAATATATCCTCCCTGATTCAAACACAGGTGGCTAAGCAAGCTGGGGATTGCTGTAGATCCTCAGGCACCCAATGGAAAGAGCGAAGAAGGTATGTTTCTAAAACAGTTTTTGTGTCTAAGCAGATGATATCCTTTACAGTTTTTGATGGGCCAAATTTTTGTCAGATCTTTTCTTTAACTGTCACCTTGAGTCTGTCTGGCCACAGAGCCCATTGACACACTGACACAGTGCAGAGGAGCTTTAGAAACACTGGTGAGATAAGGTATCGCTGAAAGGAGGCCACTGATCTTTTGAGCTGTATTGACTGAGTTGAGAGTCATTAAACCTGACTTGAAATAGGAGAGCCAAAAAAATATTAATAGATGCAAATATGACAGATGTTTTGTCACAGATGCTCCAGGATCTATCACGAGAGAGTTTCAGAAAAGAAACCCACAGACATATTTGTGTGGATGCACCCTTGCAGAGGTACGGCTGTTACACAAAGCCACTTTTTTGCTCCCAGCAACTTGATTTTCCCCTCTGTGTCACACACTGTAACTCTTTGAGATACTTTTTAGTGTATCAGAAACAGCTGTTACCAAGGGCTCCTCAAGAACACATCATTCACAGAGCCTTAGAATTTGATATGGGCTGACTGTAGCCATTCTCAATCCTTGATGCTAAGATGTTCCAGCACGTGCTTTCACTAAACAAAACTACAGCCTTGCTGTTAAAAATCCTATGATTCTCCAAGCAGTACTGAGAGAAAGTTTCATTTTGTTAACATCTTAGAAACTTCTCTCCAGTGTATAAAATCTTTTTCTCTCACAACTTTTTTCCCCTCTCATTATGGTTATTATAACCCTGAAATTACATGCATGCCACCAATAATTAAATTAGAAGATACAGTAATTACATCTGATTGGATAATATTATGGGTCTGAATGGCTAGTATGTGCTGGGAGATTTCACAGAGGGAAGTAATCTTTTTCAGTGGTTACAGCCAGGCCCTGGGAATAGAATGCCTAACTTGTGACCTCTCCTTCTTGTGTGTGTCTCATTTTATCAAATTAGCACTTCATGTAATCCACTGTTAAAAAGTAGCTGAGAAGTGCTGGAAGACACCTCCCTCTGCTACACATGTAATTGAAAAATATGACTGCCCCTTTGCCACCTCTCAAGAGATTTTGGGTCTGTCAGCTTGGTGGTTTTCTTTTTTTTTTGTTTTTTGTTTTTTGTTTTAATGGTATGCATGGTCTGAGAGTACTGTGTCTACTTCTATTGCTAGCTCTGAAACTGTACCACTGTGCCACGTGGTATGTCAAATTACCCTCTGGTGACAAAGGTCTCCTGAAGGTGTCTTATGGTTTCCAAAGCATCATGTGAGCAATCTATTTTTTCCAGAATTGTAGCCAAAACTCCAGTGCTGGTTGCCAGCTCCAGGAGAATTTACTGGTTACAGAGAATAAGAGACAGCATCTGCTACATGCAACAGGTCTCTGCGAGTTCTGTCACAGACTGTAGCATTTCATTTAAAGGCTGTGAAGGGACGAAAAAAGAACCACTTAGTGGTAAAGCTATCTGGAGCAGCGACACCTAGTGTTGTCATCTAGAGCAAGTTTATTTAAAAAATAATAGAAGAAAATGTTGCTATGAAGCAGCAGAGCATTATCAAGAGTGGGTTAATTTTCAGCATAGGAGGCATTAACATCTTATAGTCCACAACATTCTGCTTGGGGAACTTTGATGAGCACATCACTGTGAGGAATAAATGAGTTTTGGTTTAACACTTTATATTTGCTTATTTTCCATGTCTGCCTCAGAATGCTATAGTGAAAGTGAACATGATGACCCAGAAATAACAGACACACTGCCTCCCTCATATGTGGCCCAGCCACCACCTCCTCAGTTAGTAAGTATTACCATAATTAGGTTTTACTTGCTCAATGGTTGAAACAAATCATTCTCCAGATGGTGAGCTACCAGTCAGACTGGAGACTTTCTCGCTATGTGCCTGTGAGATATGGATGCACTGTTTCCTCTCACCTCTGCCCAGTGATTTTTCATGCAAGCTCTGTAGCCCATGCTGCTGAGAGCCTCACACTGGCAAGAATACCTCTTTCAAGGGAAAGCATATTCGCTCTGTTTGAGAATGGAAGGTGTTACTGTGCTTCATAAGTGTGTTGTGTCTTTTCTTTATGAGGTTTTTAACATGCAACTGTAACCTAGTCTTCACAATATTTATATTTCTTCATTCAATCCGAAATCTTTTGTTTGGTGATGTTAGCATTATACAACAGATTTATGTATTCGACTGAGCTGTTCTTTAGAAGACTGAATTTGAAAATGCTTTTGTGGCAAAGAGGAGAGGTAAAAGGCAAGAGGTGTTTTCTAACAGGGATTATGTCAGTTCTTTCCTTTTATACCTCTGAAAAAGACATTAGAAAAAAGAAAATAATTATACTCCCCGAATCTGTGTTGTCCTTCTACCTTATTGTGGAGCATGTCCAGAATATTCACTACCACCTCGCTTTTTTACATAAATTAGAATAAGTAGCATGAACCCTCGTGTGCGTAATTAAGTGCTTCTCCTATTTATGAGCCAGTTCTTGATCTGTTAGTCTAGCCTTACTATTGATGTTCTTCACAGTGATCTCATTTCTTCTCATATGAAAGTACTTGTTCAAGGTACAAGGTTTAACTAATTCTGTATTAGGACATGAGTAATTCAGTTTGGGAGGGTAATACAGCTGAAATGAAGAATCCTGACTTCAAGCCTTTCACTCTCCCAGCTGAAAGTTAAATCTAGGCATGTTCAGTAATATACTTGTTACCAAATAATCTTCTTGATCAGAATCTGTGATTCTGTGATTATTGCATCTCATGGATGAATAAAAAATGTGGTAGCTACCCTGTTGGTGTAGTAGAGGTTCTTGCAATGGTACTTTAAAATGACATCCATTGGTTTGGTGGTCATGTCGGCAGTGAAGAAAGAGCAAATCTGAAAAACATAGATGAGCTGGAGAAGCTTGCATGAACATGGTCAATAATAAATGCACAAATATGACTATCTGACAATTTTTAGATAGCTAACATTAAGCTTGGTGTCTGTGTCCTATTGTCATCTATTTGCCCCATCTGTTTCTGTCAGATAAGTCAGTCTTCACTTCCTCTCCTTAAACAGTTGTGCTTCATGAATCACTGTAAAACAGTTCACCTGGCACTCAGAGGATGCTCTATATAATAGGATTCTTTATTGCCCGTATTAACTGAAAGTTAAATGTGGCCAAGTGGCTATAAATATTGGAGAATACAGGAAACTTGACAATATATCTCCAAGAGTTATTCTGGGCTGAAGGCCGATAATGAAGCATCTTGAAATTTATACCTCAATGGATCGGCTTCAGGAGACAGTAAATGACTTTCCCATCTGCTCACCTCGGAGTGAACACAGGCATCTTTCCAGATGATGAGTTTTAAGCAGGTGCTATTTTTCAGTTTGCTGTTTTTCTGGCTTCCTGCTACTTCTCAGCCTGTAGCTGCAGAGGTGATCTCTGGTTGCCTTCCTTCTGTATGCTTCTCTTAAGAGCTGCCTTCAACGTTTTAGCAGGGAACATGTGGGAGGCAGGCAACAGTGCAGGTGCTTGAGGGGTGTTGTTTCCTCCACCCTTCCTCTTGAAGGTCATCTTCTAGTCAAGGTCTAGAAGGTCATAGTACAGTAACTACGTCTAGCTGCTGATTTCCCTTTTCCTCACCCCTATGGATGAATGTTGATATCTCCAATCAGCCAAATTTTTACCCCAAGGAATGGAAACCAGAAAGAGCTCCAGCTGCCACTGCTCTGCTCTATGCTCTGGCAGCAATTTGCAACTGGCAGACTCGTCTATGCTGGAAACTCAAACTGGAAATATCTTTTTTTTTTTTTTTTTTTAAAGTGATAATTCTGTCTTCCAAATGCCAAAGGCATTTTGCAAAATAGGAACTAGGAGCTATGGACATTTTGGAAAATCGAATCTATGATGTCTGAAGTAGAAGGGCATCCAAGCTTCTTGAGATCCACTCCAGCTTGGAAACTGTTAGTCTGGAACAGCCATCCAGGTGCAGATACTGTTACGTTACATTTTAGAGCAGTAAACACTTCGCACTTCCTGAAAAAAACTTCAGCTGCTGTTAGTTCTCTGTGACAAAACTGTTTTGAAACTTTAAAAGCAAAAGTAGTGATTATAAGCTTTCTAGTTTTATGTGTTTTTGTAGGTATTGGGAAAGAAAAAAGCAGGGGAAGAACAAATACACTTAAACATCTGTAGGACAAAAGCTTAACTGATCATCTGTGTTAATTTCTCTGCATGAGAATGGCTCAAAAATCAGCAGCTCAATTGAGTAAATAGATTGCAGCAATTCCAAAATAGCTGCTGAGGTGTTTCATGGTGATAATTTTTTTCTCTAAATAAATGCCTAGAGACACACAGATCTGCAGTGGAATCCTTATGATCTGCCAGCTTAGACATCTGCTTTTGAAAGTGTCTCCATGTAGAGTTTTTATTATTACATGTATGATTACAAAACTTCCAAAGGAATGACTCTGTCACTCACATAAACATTTGTCATGCCAAGAAAAACGCGTATACACAAGGTGTTGAAAAAGGGAAATACGTTGTGGTAGTCTGTTTTATTCTTTCACAGTTTTTTTTTTATTTATTTAACAAAAAATGAAAATGAAAACAAAAATATGTAATAGAAACAAGAAATTCTATTCATTGAGGCAGTTTTCATTTCAGCATCACTTTCTTTTTCTTCTAATGTAAGAATGCCAGTAAAATTAGAGGTGAGATCTAACATCTTGCTCTTAAGACTTTAAATAAGTGAAATTAGACAGACTATCAACACCGTATGAACAACGGCTTTTAATTTTTGGTCTATTTGTCTGTATGAACGCTATGTGGTGCTCAGAGACATGATTAAGCAGTGGGTTGTTAGGGTAGTATGGTTAGACTGTGGCTGGATTTGATGATCTATAAGGTCGTTTCCAACTGAACAATTCTATGATTCAACAATTTGTTTTTTCAATATGAACTCCTGGATAGATGAACAGGTCACTTGTGCTCACATGGGCATCTTGAACTATATCATGTGTAGATCAAAAAGATGCCTTCTTGCCCGCTGCTTTAGAGTGAGTATGTGAAGAATTCCTTTTTAAAATCAAACATGCAACTAAAACACAGTGTCACGTTTATTGCAATAGGGATATAAATAAGATGTAGTCCTGCAGAGTTTACAACAGTCTGGAAGAATAACTTTGAATATTTAGAGAAATAAAGGAAGTGCTACAAACAAATGGTGAGCCACAGTAATCTCATCTTATGAAGTGATTAATAGCTACTTGAGACTACTAGACTAGAAACTCAGGTAAATGCACTTGCATTTCTTAATATAGAAAGGAATTAGTATACCTTACAGCAACAAATGAATTACAGAAGCTTTTACAGCATAATCCAAAAAAAATCCCTCTTGGTTTATTTTATATGAATACATTTTATTTCTAATTTACCAGTGAATTATTGATAGATATTCCAGCCTTGCTCCTTTATTGTGTTTGCAGCTTATTTGGGTTTCCCTAGCAACACCATTTTGCTAATTATCAGTACTTCCAGTTTAGTTATCATCTATTTTAATACCTAAGGAGATTTATTCTGCATATGTGTGGCAAACATAAAACTCTCCATCAAGTTTTGTATTCTGATTCTGAGTCTGGCCAGTAGTGGATCATCTGCAGGAAATTTACTTCAGGAAATTTCTGAAGTAGCAGACAAAAAATATTTGGCTTTTGTCTTATACCTCCTCATGCTTTCCACTAAGGGTTGCAATCTGAATCTTTATTTCCTTATGCCTTCAATTATTTTAATTGTTAATAGATCATCTTCTAATTAATTTGTGCATATATTTATGTGCTTGCCCGTGTGTTACTTATGCAATTGACTATCTTGGCTTATATGCTAGTGGCTTTTTGTAGCTAGAAAGCAGAGCAGTGTTAGTTCTTGTTGATTTTCATTAACAGATAATAGTACAAATCAGTCAATGCAAATGCATGCTATAGAGAGAATTGTTAGCCTGTAAGCTTTGTGAGCAAAGATATATTTGCTTGTTTGGGAAACTACGTATTTCTCAAAACTTTTTCTTCTCTAAATTTTCCTTATATGGAATCATGCAGCTATTATACCCTCTTTCACTTGCTGCTCCCATAGGTTAGCTGTCTCTGAGCCCTCATTATTTGTGAGGCAGAGTGATGAGTACAGTATGAAGAACCCTAAGATGTGCTTAATTTTGATGCATCTCTAGTGAAATATGGATCCGTTTTCAGATTCATTTCCTCAAATATAAATCTTGGCAAGTGAATGAGCAGCACAAATCTTGCACCATTCCAATTTCTATGCCATCTGCTCCATGACTGCCTGTTTTTTATTTCCACCAGTACTTATTCAGCCTTCTGGCAAATATTTAGTTCCTAGAATGGATAGGATAAAATGGTTTTGGTTACTGAGGTCATTTCAATTCTGTTTTAACATTTCTTGTGTTGTCTATATGTGGTTATGGCATTAGTGGATTTATTGAATACTTCAAAGCAGATGTATGTTCTATGGTTCGATGTCTCATTTGGGTTTCTTTTGATGAGAGGAATAAAGTGAATGGAAAAACAGTGAAAATGACTATGAGACAAAAAGGATGCGTTCAACATGGTATTATTTTCTTGCTCTGTTGTTTCTAGGCCTTCAAAACTTTTTATTTTTTATTTCTAGTTTCCTTGTGACTTAGGTTCTGAAGTTGTGAGAGATTGGTTGCCTTGCTTCAAGTTTGTTTGGATGGATAATCAACCATATTATGTCAGTTTTTGGTTAGTTGTCACTTCAGTTGTATATTTATGAGGTGTAGAGCCTGGAAAAAATAATAACTTGGAAAAAATTTTTTTCTTTTTCTTTTTCTTCTTGTTTGTTTTTGGAAAGCAGGATCAACAGAAATCCTCTTTGACATCAACTCTGTCAAGTGAAGCATCTTGTTCTCTTTCATCTCCTGAAAGCACTTTCAATTCCCAAGAATCGTCATCTTCCTTAACGTCCAAAGTGGTTTTTTCTGAGAGGCAGTCTCTGCTTGACTTCGTTAACAACTCTGCCATGGAAGAGAGTGATCAGCCTTTAACTTTCTGTGTGCAGATTCAATCTGATGAGCAGCCAGAAGTAGACTGTGGAGAAAAAGCAGAAAGTCAGATCTGTCCTGGTGGTGGACCTGAAAACACTTTCTTAGGTCTGGATACACATTGCCTAACTGTGCCAGATGCAGCAGGACAGATAACACTCGCCAAAGGTGAGATAATGAGAGTTTTGTCTGGGATTTTCCCACAACTTCCTTTCCCCTCTCTTTCATTGTATTTCTGTTGAAGAGTTTTAAAATGGCATTTTTTTTTAAGACAAATATTTGGTTTATTGTGCCTTAAATATACAACTCACTACTGAATTGGTAAGCACATTTAGAATTTTTCTCAAATTTTATATATAGGTTAATATCAAAGCCTCTGTATAAAATCCTAATGTAGATGTGTTTTTACTAACTTCATCTGTTTCAGGGTAGCTGTCATTTATTAATTAGAGTTGAATCCAAGTGTTAAGAAAGTTTCATGACATAAAGGTGGAATCACAATATATGCGGTGCCACAAAACTGAACTCTGAGCTGTAAAACTAAACTCTGTCTGTAAGAAGTGGTAAATGTGAAGTTAGATCATCTTACCTATAAAAACGTCAACAGTTGTGTTCACTTCTGCTATGTATGCACTATTCATTTCACTGAACTTCATTGTAAACAAGAGAAAACAAGTGCAGTCCTGAATCAGAAAGTCCTTAAAGGCTGGATTTTGTTTAAGAGTGTGAGTATCTCCGTAGGTATCTTCTATTACAATATGCTGTTAAACAAACAAACAAAAAAACGTGGTACAGTAACAAAATTTGTTTGTTGTTACTATTAACACAGCCATAGCAAGGCTGTATATCTTGCCTTTTGAACAAAGCTTCTCTCCATGCTTTAAGAACTGTTGAAGTATAAAAGGTATTTCTTGCATACAACATAATGAAAATGAGAAGATTCTCAGTCCATTACCTATGTTCAACCTATCTTTGTAGGTGAACAGAAAGCAAGGAGCTGAATCACTTAAAGTAGTGTAAGGCACATCAGTTACATTGTCACTTCCAATTGTTTTACAGTTATCAACAATTAGCACACCTTTGTTTTGTTATATGATTTTAAGAAATAAAACAAAACAAAGCAAAAAAACAAACAAGAAAACAACCCACCAAGATATTGAAAATTGATCTAAGTAGAAGCTTCAGACAAAGTGAAAATTAATGTCAGAGTATTTTGCACTCAGCTTAATTATGAAGCTGCCCTGCTAGAGTTTTCTGAAGCAATGAAAATCAGTAAGAATTAAAACTGAGAGTGAGTAAATGTCTTATTTCAATGATGTTGAAGAAAATAAATGTGTTAGAAGAGTTCTTGAGAAATCTGATTACAAATTTTTCTGTCTTGGCATTGAAAGTAGTGAAAAGGCTGTACATTGGACCCTAAAAAGATTTGTGACAAGTATATAGCACATGTTCTGTAATTTGAATATTAGGGTTAAATCTGACCAATTAATCTCTTTGGAAAATATTCTTAGAATGGACCAAGAGACACACTGCTTGTGTGTGTGTCTCAGGTTATATGTGTACACAGGAGTTCATATTTGATTGCATTCAGGTGGTCTGTTGGATTGTAAGCCGTAGAAAGTATGGTGGCTTCTCGATCCCACTGAGAAAGATTCAGTGGTTGCTTTTTAGTAGTATAAACATCAGCCTTTGCTCAGAATATGATACTCTGATATTGTCAATGTTTCTGCAGTAATGCTCAGGCTAAAGCTTTCTATCATAACTGTGAGGGTGACAGGTAGTTTTATGGATGCTGACAGATTTAGTGCGATGCAATCGTAATCATTTAGAGAAGAATTTTATAGGTTGTATGATGATGTAGTAAATGTAAATCAAGGCATATTTTGGTATGTTTCTGCCATTTGCAAGATAGTTTAATTGTTCCAAAAATATTACTGGGGAAACAAATTCATTCACTGTTCACTGCTAAGCCAGCCCTGGCTGCAGAACACATCAGTTTTAACCATGCTGCTTATCTGTGATGGAATTACAGAAATAGATCATTTTAGTGAGACAGTCACTATAGAAACTGTATAACTTCATAAGTTACTATCTGCATGATAACTGTTGTTGAGCAAGTAAGATGTATACCATACATTTGTTACTCTTTATCACTCTGCATAGTATGAGAAGATGGAGAATGTTGGTAATGTTTTTTCTTGTAATGGATGCTGAAATACTAAATGAAGTAATTTGTAAGGAGATTACTTAAGCTATTTCAATTTGAAATTGAGGTGAAAAAAGGATTAATTAAAGTAGCAATTCAATTCCAAATGGAAATTATCAAAAAGAACATAATTCTCTATCTGTGGCTTATACCTCAAGAATTTCCCTCTGCAGCTAGTTGATAAGGACATGCACAAATACTGTGAGATAATTTCAAGTTGGGGAATATCTATCTGCAAAACCTCATGATTTACAGTAATTACCAAGAACACCACTGTTATCTGATGTGGAACAAGAGGGCATACTTTGGTGATTTGCCAGTGTAGGGCATCTTATTTACTTTTCAGTGCTTCTGAACAGTATGTTGTTTGCAGCTCTTCAGTGTAATGCGATTACACCCAGAAGGAGCAGGGTACACCTTGCATTTGTGCATGTTCTTAAAGTGCATGTCCCCTGGACATATCAGAACAATCCTATGGTCTCTGAACTCTCTGCCCGCAGAGCCTTTGCATGTATATATACTTTCCTTTTCCTTGTGAGAATAGAAAATCTCCTGTCATGCACTCTGCTTTGCAGCAGCCATGCTCTGCTTAGAAAAATCCCATGAGGAACTGTTAACTGTAGCTGTTAGCAGCCAAGACCTAGGGGAGAAATTTTCCAAGAACCAAAGAGTGTTTTTCCTGGCAAAAGTCAGGCATGGAAGTTGATTGGAGAAAAGTTGTTACTTTGAAAGAAGAAAGAATAGCTATGCCTCAGTGGGAAGAACTTTTCATGTAAATACAAGTAAAGTAAGGAGGGAGATGACTGTCTCTAACTACTCTGCTCTTGCGAGGCCCCATCTGGAGTACTGTGTCCAGGTCTGGAGCCCCCAGTACACGAAGGACAGGGAGCTGTTGGAGAGGGTCCAGAGGAGAGCCACAAAGATGATCAGGGGACTGGAGCACCTCCCCTATGAAGACAGGCTGAGGGAGCTGGACTTGTTCAGCCTGGAGAAAAGAAGGCTGCGGGGTGACCTCATTGCAGCCTTTCAGTACTTAAAGGGAGCCTACAAACAGGAGGGGAATCAACTCTTTGTAAAGGGTTGATAGCTGCAGACAAGGGGAAATGGTTTTAAGCTGAGGGAGGGAAGATTTAGGTTGGATGTCAGGGAGAAATTCTTTACAGAGAGAGTGGTGATGTGCTGAAACAGGCTGCCCAGAGAGGTTGTGGATGCCCCATCCCTGGCAGTGTTTAATGCCAGACTGGATGGGGTCCTGGGCAGCCTGGTCTAGTATTAAATGGGGAGGTTGGTGGCCCTGCATGTGCTGAGGGGGTTGGAGATTCATGACTCTTGAAGTCCCTTCCAACCCTGGCCATTCTGTGGTTCTGTGAGAAAGGAACCTGTAGTGGTAAAATAGACAGAGATTTCTCAATGAGGAAAATGGGTGAAACCCTGTAAAGGAAGCAACAGGTTCAGCTAAGTGATTATAGGCTTTTTTTTTCTTTCTCTCAGTGAAAATTATTTAGGGAGATCTGCTGAGCAATTGTACACATCTTGAATGAGGAGATGTACCAAATAATATTTGAAAAAACTTTCCAGCAGCTCTCAGTGTTATGAGCAGTCTCAGACTTATTGCTCAGCTCTGATTACTGGGCAGAGGTTACTTACCAGAGAGTGGCAAAAAAAGTACAGAAAAAAAAGGATTGTATTTCCATTTACTTAATGGGAGTAATTTAATACTTCAGTGTTACAGTCTTTTACATGAATGGTGACAGAGGATTCAGTGCTGACACAAAGAAGTTGACAGGTAAACAAGAAACAGTAAAGAATACAAACAAATATGTGACTACGTGCTCTGTGTACAGAAGCTGTTCTTGCCCCATCTGGGATGGCTAGACACACTCTGCAGCCAAACTCCATCTTTTGTGTTTCTTCTGGCAACCATTGGAACAGAAATATCAGACCATGACACAGCACCACCACTATCATCAAAAACAACGATAACAAAAGGAAGCTGTAGAAATTGAGAGGTCAACAGGAATGTGTGTTTTTATTTATTTGGGTATCTTCCACTGTAGCAATAACATCCTTCTTCCTTGTGGTTCCTGAGGGTTTTATAATCACCATCACATGATCTTAATGCATCTTGGCAAGAAAATTTTATGGTACCATCTCTGGTTTATTTATTTCACTCTGGCTCATTCATAATAGCTGGTGAAAGAGCTGATGTGCACTGATATTTTGGGAAACCTGGAAGGCTTCTTGAAAACAATTTGAATTTTATGTGGATTGTTTTTGCGAGAAGGAGTTGGTTACATAGAAACTAGATGTGGTCAATTCCTTCTTTTCTCAGAACTTACATCCTTTTCCCCTCTTGAATCTGCCTGTGCCAGTAATAGCCAGAACAGATCTTCTGGCCTCTTTGTTCCTTCTGCATAAGTTATAGTAAATGCTGTATTGTGGCTGAGACTATCCAACAGGCACGCCTATATTGCGCTGCGTGGAAGAACAGCTGTATTTGAATGATCATTTTGCTTCAGGTTAAAAACACTTCAGGAATCACAGTGAAAATTATGCTGTTACATTTTCTGACCTTGAAAATAGAGATACTTGTTTGTGCTGTTTCCAGTTTAGAAGAGTTTGGAGTCTGTTAAAAATGTCACCCCTCTCTGCTGAACTCACTGTATTGTTGTAATCAAAAGCCTTTGACTCTCAGTGTTAATGTAATTTTCCCATTACTGCTCCCACTCTCTCATGTCTCTTGGTTTTATAGTTCTGCATTAGCCAATGAGGAGTTGGTCAAAGACAGATCCTTTTAATTTGTGTATTTCCTGGTCTGTAGCTCTTTCAGAAATGTGATTTCCCTAACATGTCATTTCCCTTTGGAAAGACTACTAATATGGAGAATAGATAGGGAGTATACTGGGGATTGGTAAGGGCATAAGTGGGTTGTAATGCTTTCATCTCCTCTCTCCAGCCTGGG